GGGAGGAAAACATTTTTTACTTTAATCTTATTGGGTCTTGGAGCAAATAACATTGGAGTTGTACAGAAACCAGAAAGATTGTGAATGGGTGATGATGGTGGCTGTAAGTATAGCTCTAGCCATTGGAATTATGGGTGTCTCTTAGTCCATGGATTACAGAATGTGGCGATTCTAATAGATTTTTATATGATCTATGATATGATGTGCAATGCATCTCTAAGCCTGGCTTTTTCTAGTTCTGTTTGGCTCTTTTTAGCATTTTTTATAGCGATGTCGCACAGTAATCGATAAAGTGCTCACTGTCTACAGAGTTCTGTTTATGGAATTAGGAAGTGTCCTGTTCACTCTTTGCTTGAATACTATGTCCATTTGTTATCCTTGTTGTACGCCTTTTGGGTATATTTGGTTTCCCCATGTGATTGTTTCATAATATGTTGCTTGCTGACTATTGAGGATAGCTTTTAAGACCTGCAACTGTTGCTGTCAGCGCAGTACAGGAAGTAAAAAAAATACAAATCAAGTGCAAAGAAACACGCATTTTGTCAGAAATGTTTGTAGTGGCAATTGAGCTTGGGCTACATTTGCAAAGTATGAGCAATCATATTACAGCACAAACTTATACATTAAAAGAGAAACTTCTGCTCCAGATTTCCTTGATAGGCTGGTACTCCAGACTCTGACCTTATGAAAAAATACATAGTAAATTGCAAATCGGTAACTTGTGTTAATTGGGAACTGTGGGGACTAGCTGCAGGGTGATAATGAGCCTGCGCAGGGGTTGAACTACTCATTAGCACTTATAACCAAAGAAAAAAATTGTGAACCATTTCTGCAGCCAATATTAGGATGGTTACCTTTTCCCTCATACTAGAGGTTGTAGTCGATTTTTTTTGCATGTGCCAAAGTCTGTCACTTTCCATGTTAGGTTAAAAAATATGGCTGCCTCGGGAAACAGTCACTCAGGAAGGTTAGAAAGTCTGCCTTCACTGCTATTGTTGGCAACATAAATAAGCTATGCCCCCTTCATTCACAACAAAATTCTGCCTGCTAAAATGCTTTTGTTTATGGTAGGGGCTGCAACCAACTAATCGATTATGAGAATAGCGGTCAACCATTCTCATTATTATCGATTAGTTAGTTGGATCCCTAGCTCTCTCCTCCACACTGGAAGCAGGGCACAGCAAGCAGTGGGCGGGTGCAATAAGCAATTTGAAATGGCCAATATCAGGCTGGATCTTGCACCAGCCCACTACCTGCTGTATTTACATTCAGCTGCCGACTGTAGAATCTTGCCACTGGCAGCTGACATTTTCTGGCTGAAGCTATTCAAGCACGATGTGCTTACAATACAGTTATTTAAAAAAAAAAAAATTATATATATATATATATATAAAAGGTGGGGAAAAAAGTCATTTTTGGTTTCCGCCTGACAAATTTTGCTGCGGGAGGCGTGTTGCAGTGTCATTAATTTCAATGTGCCTCCCACCCACAGTGTGATCGCCCACACTGGAACGCACGGTACTGCAATGCCGTGTATTCCAGTGCAGTGCGATTGCAAAAAATTGTGCTTGCAGTTTTATTCTGAAGTAAACTTTGTAACACTGCATTTGTGTATTTTTTTTATTTTAAATTGAGCATGGTATTTTATTTTTTATCCAATTAATCGAAAAAATAATCACCCAAATCATTAGTTGCAGCCCTAGGCAGAACCAATACATTTTATATAGTACAAAATAACCCCCCGAAAAAGGCAACATAAGCCAATGGATGTTCATTCACTATTCAAAATCGTCAGAATACCACCGTTGACTCACATTTTTGACTCAGATTCTGGTGTGAATGCACCCTTAAGGTAATTTCAAATGCAAGCAGTGCAAGTGCCTGAATTTGATCTGTTATTGGCCTCCTGCAGTCTCTGTATAGCAAAAGAAAAAAAGTGCTGCGGAGATGCATATATTATTTTGGTATCATGAGGAATGACAGAATGATTGAATAATCAATGCGCCCTTAGCTAAAATGTAAATATTGCTTTGGTTCTAAGTTTTATACAGGGTGGGGGGAGCTAAAGATATATTAGCACTGTTGTACACTATCCTACAACATCAAATCCTGAGATTTCTCTATCCTATCCTACAACATCAAATCCTGAGATTTCTCTATCCTATCCTACAACATCAAATCCTGAGATTTCTCTATCCTATCCTACAACATCAAATCCTGAGGTTTCTCTATCCAAGTGTATAGCCAGATTTCATAAAGTATTTGGATTGTAAGTTATGGCAAACTAAGCGCCATCGAAAACAAAATTCATTATTATACCTGGACGCAGGTCTGGGTGTGTATTATGCACATTTCAGTTGCAAGCCATGGAAAAGATGAGATGTTATGATGCCTGCAGAATCATTCAATAGGGTGTTTATGTTTCTGAGAACATGTCCTTTATTTTTATTTAAACTTGTTAAACAAATCAAAAGAGACCAAGCTATGCTTTGGTTGAAAGCTTTTATTCCGATTCACTATTGTGAGTATGTTTTTACCCTGTCCTTGCAGCTTTTCTTATTAAAAACAATCTACACTAGGGTGGGCGCCCTTCTCTTTTGTTCTTTTTCCCATATTATTTAAACTTGGTCACCTAATACAGTTGAATATTTACAAATGAAAAAAACACTTGTACAAAAGTTTATGTATGAATTCTGTTTTCAAAGCTTCCAAATAGTTATGTATAACTCAAGCTGTTTAACTCCATAATCCCCTAATGAAGAAAAAAATGTTTTTTAATTATTATATAGTGTGCACAAGCTACATAGTACTTGCATGCACAGTAACAGTTTTGCTATGTGCAGGTAAAGCTATAGCAGAAAACACTACTTGCCCACCAGTGATGGCAGAGTGGACCACTTAGTGGGAATGTCAGTTGTGGTGGAACCACAGTTTGACAGACACTACGGTAGTATTGAGAAAGTTGCTTTCAGTTTAAAGAAGAGTATTTGCTCTTTTAAGGGATTTAATTTAGCTTTCTGTCCTGGCGAAAACACAGCAAGTGAAAAACATATACTTAACAGTAAGATTAAAACTTTACAAAGGCTCTTTCGTCTTTCCCCACCTCACTACAAATTATGTTTTTTGGGTAGTTCTTTTATGGTAACCATGTGGAGGGGAAACCTTCCCAACGACCACAGAAGCATCAGCCTGACTGAGATTCTTCTCTTTCCCCGATCTGGGAAAGAAAACAAGGCTGGAATTTTTCTTTAAGTGAGAACTATGAGGTGAGTGCTTTTCACTCGTCTCATAGTTGTAGACGACCTATGACAATGAGACTGTCACAGGTCAGCTCAGTAGATCGAGACGTGAGCGAACACATACCGGCGTTCGCTCACCTCTCGATCCTGTCACAGCTCTCTGCCGTGACAGGGGAGGTGCTGGATTCCCCCCTCCCCGCTCCGATCCGCCAGCGCTGACTGGCGGATCGGACGGGGGAGGGAGTGGGTACAGCTGGCTCTGCCTCTAGATAGGCAGAGGCAGCTGGGCGGATCCAGACATAATTGTCGGGATCCGCTTCAGCTGCGGCGTCGCAGTAGCTTGCGGTATACTGAGCTTAGAGTGACGGGAAGACGCTATGGGGAAAAGCCTTAACCCTCCTTTAATAGTGCAACAGAAGGCACCACATGGTACTATCATATGTCCCTGCTCCTCTTTTTGTTCACTCTGTATTAATGCAATGGCAAACATCTGCAAACTAACCCACCGAAATAATGTTTGTTTGTTTTTTTGATAGTTATGTGCAATATACAGGCACATTGTGCTGTCTCCATGGACTGGCAGGTTTACTTTTAAAGTGTCAGATAGGACCTGTGTATTTGTTTACTAAACTGTAAGGACAGGACCGGCAGGCACCGGATACCTGGCACCCTGTGAATAACAGATTTGTAACTTGGATTAGTTTTTATTTTTAATGCATATGCATTCACAAAGTGTTCAGACTAGGGATGCACCGATATATCTGCCGAAAATTGCACTTTTGGTTAAATTCCGAAAGTGCAATTTTCCTGCCGATCGGTGCATCCCTGCTTTCTTTCCTCCCCGCTCTGTGTCCCAGCGGGGAGGAGAGAAAGTGTGACAGCGGGCCGAGTGCTGTGGGAGGTGAGCGCTGTGATCGGCCGGCGTCTCTCCTCCCACACCGCTCAGCCTCCTATCAAAGTCCGGCAGAGCGGTGTGTGGTCAGAGACAGCCCGCGCTGTCAAAGGAGGCTGGGCTCTCCTCCCTGCACCGCTCGTTCAGCCTCCTGTGACAGCTGTCAGGAAGGAGAGCAAGTGCATCATTGATCGCTGATTGTTTGTAGATATTTGAGGACACGGTATGTTTACTATATCCTCAATTATGAATGAATAGGAGGGATCTACATCACCTCCTGTTCATTCATAGTTTTACTTATAGTAAACATACTATGCTCTCAAGTTATGAATGAACAGGAACACTCAGTATAGAGGATTCCTGTTCATTGATAACTGGGGATACAGAAACAGGAGGATAGGAGGAGGACTTTGTGTCCTAAATCTCTTTTCCTATTTTAAAAGGGAAATATCCGGGTTTTAGACCCCCTAATATTTCCCCGAAGCCCCTAAAAGTTAAAAAATAAAAATATTTAATAAAAAATGAATTAATAAATAAATATAAAAAATTAAAGTTTATAAAAAAGAAATAAAAATTAAATATGTAAAAAAATTAAAATAAAAACATTTTCGGTTTCGGCCTGACAAATTTTTTGTTGCTGAGATGTTTTATGCACCTTGATTGGAGTCCACCTGTTGTAAATTCAATTGATTGGACATGATTTGGAAAGGCACACACCTCCTCTATAGAAGGCCTCACAGCTGACCATGCATCACATCTGTATTCAATGTCTCAAATGTAATGTTTTGTGTGTTATGTTTTTATAGTTGTCCTTCCAGTTTTTCTAAGTCATGAAAAACACTCACTGATTACATTTTATTTATTTGTAGCTGTCCCTTTTCCCCCAACAAATCGATTAACATCAGAAGAAGTATTTGACACTGATGGCAAGCCTAGAGTGGATGTTTTGAAGAACCACTTAATAAAAGAAGGTCGGGTAGATGAAGAAATTGCACTTAGGATCATCAATGAGGGTGCTGCTATTTTACGACGAGAGAAGACTATGATAGAAGTTGAAGCACCCATTACAGGTAGGAGATTAGGTTTAGAGTTTATGGTTTGCTCAGGAAAGTAGAGATGTCCAGCTTGAAAACATGTATAAGGTCCCCTGCTATATTCTTGTTCAGCAGTGCACATGGACAACTGGTTGACTTGGAGATCTGTGAAGGGCCCGAGCAAGAAGCGTGTAGTAACTTACACGTGATCAAGTTGCTTGATGTCTCTTATCTTCATGTCGTTTGTGTGAGCTGTCTGGAGTGACAGTGTCTGGGACACCTGTTAGATATTGACAGTGTCCAGTTGGTCCTGTGGTGTAACTGGATGTTTTGGACCATAGTCCGCCATGCACTGCTTTTCTCGCCTCAGCCTTCTATTTAAGAGCAAATTGCTGGTGCATATATGTAAAGTGAACATGTAATCAAGTTTAACATAAAGCAATGTTAAGAAATATTTGTGTTGACAAAGCTGTGGAACGTTTTCCTTTTCTGGAGAAAATATTGCTCTAGGTTCTGTTCAGTACTGCTCATATAACCAAAACCTTAGGCATTTGATCACTCTTTATCCTTTGCAGCAAAAGATTTAACATTGTTAACTTTTTTGGCCAGTTGAACAATTGTATTTCTCTGTTCTTAGTAAATGCTGCGGAGGTAGATCACCTAAGGATTTCTTATGTGTCTCAGCTGCCTGTGATCCTTTAGATGACCGGCTCCAGCCATTAGGGGTCTTGCTGTCCCTGTTTAGTGTTGAATTTGATGTGGGTACAACAGGAGTCGTCTGAATACTTCAAGGTGGGATAAATTGGTAAAAGTTAATTTGGGGTATAGGTCTGATTTTAAAGGATGTGCACAAAGTCTGTTTGGGTCTCACATAATGTGTAGTAGTTTTTGCACTTGCTGGCCTGTGTGTGGGTGTCCAGTAGTGCGTTTACTTGGTTTAGCTCCTGATAATGTCATCTGCACATACCCTCTTATCCACATTTAGAAGCTGGGCAGGCTGTCTTATATGGCTAGGACACAGCCGATATCAGTCATGGTGAGTGGCCAGTCCTCTTTTGTTCAAGGGGTTGCTTGTATTGACTGCTGTTATTTCCAGCCCAATGCAAAAATGGCCTTTCCCTCTTCCAGTTAGAAACTATGATGGACAAGGGTGACCTCATCAGCGGCTGCAACAACTACTAAAAATATAGACCGGTCTGGTAAAAGAAATACATTGTGACCTATATATTTTTACAGGAATTTTAATTATGTTAGACCGTGACAGTTACACAAAAGGGTACTTTTTAAATCTCTGATTCCCCAGCAATTAGCTATGCATGATTGACACTGTCCAGAGCTTGGACACTGAGGATAATCCTAAGGGAGTTTTGTAGCTATATGTGTAAGCATTGATATTGGAAATGCACGGTCTACATTTCTTCTATAAAAAGTAGCAATGATTTGCCTTTAATTTTACCAACGAATATTTGTCAAAGTTGAAAACTCCCATAAGGGAGTGTAGCTCAAGTTTGTTGTAACCATTTTTAAATGCCTCCATGAAGAGCGGTATTGTCTGCGTCATAAGTGATTCCTAGGTTTGTTTGTTTTTCAAGGCTACAAAGTGCTTTGGCACAGTGTAGAAGTCCTTTTCACTTTGACTCTAGTTTTTATGACACAAGTTTGTAAGTAAAATTGCTTTTGTGAGCTGTGAATTTGTGTATACAGGATGTGTAAATGTTGGTCCATATAGACGCCATTGAGGATAAATGGCAAATGATATCTAGTGTTTGCTTGGTGGGCTGCTGGATTTGCTGCCTATGAAAACATCATGCTCAGTATCGGTAAATGACCCTGAAGCTGGACTCGCCTCCAGCCTTGCAAGTTTGGGCTTGCAAAGACACCGAGGATCCCATGGCCTCTGCACTACTTGCAGGTGTTTTCTTCCCGCTAATGTGGTTGGGGATCTGGGTTAGTTGGGAGAGGGCTGTGCTGTTCTGAATGCTCTGGTACAAATTTACATGCTCTTAAGGCGCCTTCATAAGTTGTAGAAGGGCTGAAATAATTTCCTGGAAAAACTGCTACACCACGATCCTTTTTGCGCCAGTCATTTGACCAAAAGCCGAAATATGTATTTGTGATCTCTGCTGAAGGGGATGATCAGAGCTCTGATTAACTGATCCCGTCAGCAGAGGTCCTACGACTAAATATTTCAGTTTTTGGAAACATGGAGCTGCACTTTTATTTTCTTTTACTTTTTATTCTTCCATCTCAGCAAGACTGCAAACATAGCTTTAAGTTTACACCATAGGTCTGCTTTAAGGAGTTAAGGAGAATTGCAGCACAATTTTTTTTTTTTTTTTACTTTGCTCATTTTTTCTGCCTGGGTTGCATCTTAATGGTTAAACTCTTTTTATCTTTCTGTTTTCTCCCATAGTTTGTGGTGATATTCATGGCCAGTTCTTTGACCTGATGAAGTTATTTGAAGTGGGAGGATCGCCAGCTAACACAAGATACCTCTTTTTGGGGGACTATGTAGACAGAGGTTATTTTAGCATAGAGGTAAATTGTCATTGCGTGTAATAACCATGTTTAAATTCTGCAATATTTTAGATTTTTGTTTGCTACTTCTTTCTTATCTGAAAAGTCATTACAGTGGCCTCTTAACATCCTATCATCTAATATTTATAGGCTTAACATCTCTTTATAAGTAGGTCTACCCTAAGGGATTTGAATGAACTAAATTGCAAAACGAGAATATATCCTCCTTTGCAATGTTCATATTGCCATCACCAGCCTGTTGGTCTCAGAACCTGTTGGCAGATCCTCTGTGTAAGCTCAGCGTGTGCAGCGTGGCAAATGATTTCCCAACCTTTACAGGCAGATCACGTTGGGAGCACTATGTAGGTCCATGTGTAGTATCACGTGGGGAGTATTTTTACCATCGCCTCAGAAGTACTCAATAGACATAAAAACTGGACACTGAGCAATCATCTGATAACCCAATAACACCACTAACTGCAGTTTTTTTTTATGAAACTGCCCATAGGTTATATTATACTGTTATGTGAGACAAATTGTAACACTATGTGGAAAAATACTAATTAGAGCTGGCCAAAATCAATGTGTCAAGATATAAAGTAAAGGACCAACAACCCATAGGTTCCCCACACACAGAGATGGAAAAACTGGGCCTGCCTCCTGTTTTTGTAAATGTATTGAACCCTTCTGTCTAGTGTAACTGTTAGGCATATATTCACATATTAGACTATTTGTTGCTATGAGGCTACTTTTTAGCATGTCTTAGCAGCTATGAGCCACAACTAGAAGTTCAGCTCCCACGGTGTAATGCTTTCTCTGGTCGATTTCCGTTTGTGCTGTGCTATCCACAACTAAGGCCTCAGACACACTACGCAGCCAAATGTTGATTCCAGGTGCGTTTGTCGCTATCCTTTAAATGCCCCTCATTTTAATGCTTCTGTATGACTGAATGCATACACAGATCTACAGCAGCGTCTAGGTGCATTCAGTCCAGAAGCGATTACAAAAAATAGAATTTTCTGTGTTCTAGGTCAGTATAGATTTGGAAATTTGCAGCTGGCTGCGCATATTAACGTAAATGCATGTAGATGACAGGGGTGTGGAATTTGTATCGCCCGACGTCCGGGACATGTAGTTCCGGGCACCGGGCAAGTAGTTTTTTCACTGTTTTAGCCCTGCTACGGACAAGTAGCAGGGTTGGTTTGACTTGTTTTAAACGAGCGGCGCTGCGATCGGGGGGCTTGGAGTGCCGAGAGCGGCGCTGCGAGTAAGGGGCGTGGAGAGCGGTGGGCGTGGCCCGGAGTGT